CCCGCACTTTCCTTTTATGGCGCTAGCCCCCGCCCCACACTTTCCTTTTATGGCGCTAGCCCCGCCCCACACTTTCCTTTTATGGCGCTAGCCCCGCCCCACACCTTCCTTTTATGGCGCTAGCCCCGCCCCTCAGGCGCTTTTTATGGGGGCAGCCCCGCCCCACATGCGCCTTTTTCGGGCATATCCCCACCCTTCCTTTACCTTTTATGGCCATGGGCACGCCCCGACACTCCTTGTACGGACAAGTCCCTGCCCCTCGGCTCCTTTCATGGCGGCGCCCACCGCCCGTTCACCCCCCCCTCCTTCCAGGCAGGATCGGGCACTCCCGGGTTTCGTCGTGCACAAAGCCCCGTTCTTTTTGGAACCTCTTGCTCCAGCCTTTTTCCCTGGGCGAAGAGGTGAATTAGTCTTTTGAAGGACCCGATGGCCAGAGGTGGGGGAAAAACTAGCAGCATTCCCTAAACACCTCCAGCACTTCCATATCCATCTGCGACCAGGGCTAACCTGGGCTAGGGGAAGGTGTCCCTGCTCAGGCAGTGGGGCTGCATGAGCTTTAAGGTCCCTTGCAACCCGAACCACTGCAGGATTCCATCACCATTCCACCATTTCTCCCTGCATTTGTTGTGCATCGCTTCCTCTCTGATTCAAATTCTCCAGTTTGGTCGGTCTCTTAAAGGAATAATTTTAAGGTTATTCCGGGAATAAAAAGGGGAGTGGAAAACACACACGAATCATTCCTGCACCCATCAAATCCTTATTCATTAGGAGCACATGCCCTCATCTCTGTCCTTGTTTTTCTTTTTCTCCTGGGAAACCTTATGGTCATAGATTTTTCCAAGAGAGACCTGGGATTACCACGTTTGCTCTGTAAGAGGCAGGAGAGGTTCAGAATACCTGTTCCTCTGCATTTTGCCAGTGGGATTTTCCCACTTTTCAGACATCATTTTTGTAGCTGCCCAAGGAAATTTCTGGAGCTGACCCACGACTGAGTACAGAGTGCAGCACAAAGGAACAACCAATCTCCCTCCAAAATATTTCCTGCCCTCTACAGACAGCCTCAAGACTTATGTCCAATATTTTCCCCACCTGTCCACTACTGATTCCCTCATTTTAACCCCAAAATGTTCATTCTGTCCCCTACATACTAACACAGATATGACCCCAGTGTCCATTCTGTCCCCTGTAGGTCTCTGGGGACAAAGGGGGGTCCCTTTGATCTCAGGGCCTTGCTCCTGACCCTCTCCAGGGCGGAAGAGCTGCAAATCCCAAGGCAGAAGGAGGGTGATCTGTCAGCCAAAGGCAGACAAACGGCTTCAGAAAAGATTTCTGCAACCTAACTGAGAAGGATTTCCAATCTCCCGGGGAGAAGAGCAGGAACTCACAGCCAACAATACCTGACAGTGCCCTGCAGCCACAGCTCAGCTCACGGACAGACTGGCAATTCCACCATCTAAAAGGAAACAAGACCAAGGAAATGGTGATTTCTTTGGCTTTCAAGTTATTTTCAGTTCTTAAAACAGAAGCAACACTTGCTTTGGAATTGTGTTGGGTGAACAATTGGCAGTGGGCACACGCCAGGGCAATAGTGCTGATTTCACTGATGCTCTCTGGGGCAGGAGCAGCTGAGCTCCTGAGTTCAGTTCCTGCCCAAGGTCTGACCCCAAAATGATCCCCTCCTCTCCACTGCTGATCACCTCCACATTTGCATTCACTGACCTGCAGAGAATCAAACTCCTTTTTAAGCCCCAAAACCCGCCTGGGCAGCCACAACTGATCACCTCTTTTAATTTTTAAGACAAGATCTTCATTCTCTCTCCCAGAGATCCCCTCAGATTTAACCCCTAAACTTTTCTCTTCCTGCACACCTCTGATTAACTCATTTTTACCTCCAAAGGTTCATTTTCTATCCTTGAGAGTTTCTCAAGTTTTACCCCCAAAGCTTTCCTTACCTGCCCAGGGCTGATGGCCTCACATTACCTCTCTCGGGTCGTTCCCTCCCCTACAAATAACATTCAGTTTTACCCCCACACTTTTCCTTCCTCTACATTTCCCATTTTAGCTTTGTTAACCCATAACTGGGGACACAGGGGGTCCCTTTGATCTCAGGGCCTTGCTCCTGACCCTCTCCAGGGCGGAAGAGCTGCAAATCCCAAGGCAGAAGGAGGGTGATCTGTCAGCCAAAGGCAGACAAACGGCTTCAGAAAAGATTTCTGCAACCTAACTGAGAAGGATTTCCAATCTCCCGGGGAGAAGAGCAGGAACTCACAGCCAACAATACCTGACAGTGCCCTGCAGCCACAGCTCAGCTCACGGACAGACTGGCAATTCCACCATCTAAAAGGAAACAAGACCAAGGAAATGGTGATTTCTTTGGCTTTCAAGTTATTTTCAGTTCTTAAAACAGAAGCAACACTTGCTTTGGAATTGTGTTGGGTGAACAATTGGCAGTGGGCACACGCCAGGGCAATAGTGCTGATTTCACTGATGCTCTCTGGGGCAGGAGCAGCTGAGCTCCTGAGTTCAGTTCCTGCCCAAGGTCTGACCCCAAAATGATCCCCTCCTCTCCACTGCTGATCACCTCCACATTTGCATTCACTGACCTGCAGAGAATCAAACTCCTTTTTAAGCCCCAAAACCCGCCTGGGCAGCCACAACTGATCACCTCTTTTAATTTTTAAGACAAGATCTTCATTCTCTCTCCCAGAGATCCCCTCAGATTTAACCCCTAAACTTTTCTCTTCCTGCACACCTCTGATTAACTCATTTTTACCTCCAAAGGTTCATTTTCTATCCTTGAGAGTTTCTCAAGTTTTACCCCCAAAGCTTTCCTTACCTGCCCAGGGCTGATGGCCTCACATTACCTCTCTCGGGTCGTTCCCTCCCCTACAAATAACATTCAGTTTTACCCCCACACTTTTCCTTCCTCTACATTTCCCATTTTAGCTTTGTTAACCCATAACTGGGGACACAGGGGGTCCCTTTGATCTCAGGGCCTTGCTCCTGACCCTCTCCAGGGCGGAAGAGCTGCAAATCCCAAGGCAGAAGGAGGGTGATCTGTCAGCCAAAGGCAGACAAACGGCTTCAGAAAAGATTTCTGCAACCTAACTGAGAAGGATTTCCAATCTCCCGGGGAGAAGAGCAGGAACTCACAGCCAACAATACCTGACAGTGCCCTGCAGCCACAGCTCAGCTCACGGACAGACTGGCAATTCCACCATCTAAAAGGAAACAAGACCAAGGAAATGGTGATTTCTTTGGCTTTCAAGTTATTTTCAGTTCTTAAAACAGAAGCAACACTTGCTTTGGAATTGTGTTGGGTGAACAATTGGCAGTGGGCACACGCCAGGGCAATAGTGCTGATTTCACTGATGCTCTCTGGGGCAGGAGCAGCTGAGCTCCTGAGTTCAGTTCCTGCCCAAGGTCTGACCCCAAAATGATCCCCTCCTCTCCACTGCTGATCACCTCCACATTTGCATTCACTGACCTGCAGAGAATCAAACTCCTTTTTAAGCCCCAAAACCCGCCTGGGCAGCCACAACTGATCACCTCTTTTAATTTTTAAGACAAGATCTTCATTCTCTCTCCCAGAGATCCCCTCAGATTTAACCCCTAAACTTTTCTCTTCCTGCACACCTCTGATTAACTCATTTTTACCTCCAAAGGTTCATTTTCTATCCTTGAGAGTTTCTCAAGTTTTACCCCCAAAGCTTTCCTTACCTGCCCAGGGCTGATGGCCTCACATTACCTCTCTCGGGTCGTTCCCTCCCCTACAAATAACATTCAGTTTTACCCCCACACTTTTCCTTCCTCTACATTTCCCATTTTAGCTTTGTTAACCCATAACTGGGGACACAGGGGGTCCCTTTGATCTCAGGGCCTTGCTCCTGACCCTCTCCAGGGCGGAAGAGCTGCAAATCCCAAGGCAGAAGGAGGGTGATCTGTCAGCCAAAGGCAGACAAACGGCTTCAGAAAAGATTTCTGCAACCTAACTGAGAAGGATTTCCAATCTCCCGGGGAGAAGAGCAGGAACTCACAGCCAACAATACCTGACAGTGCCCTGCAGCCACAGCTCAGCTCACGGACAGACCGGCAATTCCACCATCTAAAAGGAAACAAGACCAAGGAAATGGTGATTTCTTTGGCTTTCAAGTTATTTTCAGTTCTTAAAACAGAAGCAACACTTGCTTTGGAATTGTGTTGGGTGAACAATTGGCAGTGGGCACACGCCAGGGCAATAGTGCTGCTTTCACTGATGCTCTCTGGGGCAGGAGCAGCTGAGCTCCTGAGTTCAGTTCCTGCCCAAGGTCTGACCCCAAAATGATCCCCTCCTCTCCACTGCTGATCACCTCCACATTTGCATTCACTGACCTGCAGAGAATCAAACTCCTTTTTAAGCCCCAAAACCCGCCTGGGCAGCCACAACTGATCACCTCTTTTAATTTTTAAGACAAGATCTTCATTCTCTCTCCCAGAGATCCCCTCAGATTTAACCCCTAAACTTTTCTCTTCCTGCACACCTCTGATTAACTCATTTTTACCTCCAAAGGTTCATTTTCTATCCTTGAGAGTTTCTCAAGTTTTACCCCCAAAGCTTTCCTTACCTGCCCAGGGCTGATGGCCTCACATTACCTCTCTCGGGTCGTTCCCTCCCCTACAAATAACATTCAGTTTTACCCCCACACTTTTCCTTCCTCTACATTTCCCATTTTAGCTTTGTTAACCCATAACTGGGGACACAGGGGGTCCCTTTGATCTCAGGGCCTTGCTCCTGACCCTCTCCAGGGCGGAAGAGCTGCAAATCCCAAGGCAGAAGGAGGGTGATCTGTCAGCCAAAGGCAGACAAACGGCTTCAGAAAAGATTTCTGCAACCTAACTGAGAAGGATTTCCAATCTCCCGGGGAGAAGAGCAGGAACTCACAGCCAACAATACCTGACAGTGCCCTGCAGCCACAGCTCAGCTCACGGACAGACTGGCAATTCCACCATCTAAAAGGAAACAAGACCAAGGAAATGGTGATTTCTTTGGCTTTCAAGTTATTTTCAGTTCTTAAAACAGAAGCAACACTTGCTTTGGAATTGTGTTGGGTGAACAATTGGCAGTGGGCACACGCCAGGGCAATAGTGCTGCTTTCACTGATGCTCTCTGGGGCAGGAGCAGCTGAGCTCCTGAGTTCAGTTCCTGCCCAAGGTCTGACCCCAAAATGATCCCCTCCTCTCCACTGCTGATCACCTCCACATTTGCATTCACTGACCTGCAGAGAATCAAACTCCTTTTTAAGCCCCAAAACCCGCCTGGGCAGCCACAACTGATCACCTCTTTTAATTTTTAAGACAAGATCTTCATTCTCTCTCCCAGAGATCCCCTCAGATTTAACCCC